TAGTATGTCATACATGCGTGTGTTATTTACCATATGTTAGTATGTCATGCATGCGTATGTTATTTGCCACATGATCGTATGTCATGAATGCGTGTGTTATTTACCACATAATAGTATGTCATGCATGCGTGTGTTATTTACCACATAATAGTATGTCATGCATGCGTGATCTCCTTTCTCAGAGGTAGTCTTGTGGCTGCACCAACACTACACTCGATTGTAGGTTATTGTTCAATCTATTGTTGGTTATTGTTTACTAATGTAGCCTGTTACATAGTCACTCTTTCCCTTTCTCACCTCTCACAGAGCTGTGTGGCCTTAAGTTTGTGTTCTCTGGCGATGAGTTTGTGAGCACAGATGCGTGCATAGTGGCGTCTAACCATCGCAATCGATTGGACTGGCTATTCCTATGGGGCTTGTTTGTGCGCTACGGCAGGCTGCAGTATCACAAGATCATGCTAAAGGTGGGTGCTGCATGGTAGATGTGTATGTCAGCTGGTATATGTGTATGTCCGTTGGTAGATGTGTATGTCCGTTGGTAGATGTGTTTGTCCGTTGGTAGATGTGTATGTCCGTTGGTTCATTCCTTTAACTGCGCACACAAAAACATGCTGAAACGCGTACATAGATCACATAAACGAATTGTCTATACAGATGGGTCTGTCCATTCCCGTGCGTGGTAACGTATCCGCAGGGTTTCTCTCTTAACGTATCATCTAGTGACGTATACGCGTCGTCTGTTGACTGTCTACAGGCGCCGTTGAAGCACTTGCCTGGCCCTGGGTGGGCCACACAGGCCATGTGCTTCCTCTTTGTGGAGCGCAGTTGGGAGAAAGGTAAACGTCCACCATCTATCGCAAATGCTCATAAGCGACCTGTTACTATATTGTCACAGTCCTTGGATGTATTCATACCGGCGCGTGGACGTACAGCTGTTTGCACGGTGTGTGTATATTCATACGGGTGCGTGGACGTACAGTTGTTTGCACAGTGTGTGTTTGATCAGAGACGGTGGCGGTAGTGTTCTCAGACTTAAGAACACACTATATATATATATATATGTTTATGTTCATATATCTGTATATATGTATATATGTATATATATATGTTTATATGTAAATATATGTATGTATATATATATATATATATATATATATTTATATATGTATATGTATATATATATGTATGTGTGTGTGGGTGTATGCATGTATGTACGTACGTACGTACGTACGTATGTACGTATGTATGTATGTATGTATGTATTCATATATATATATATACATATATATATATATGTATGTATGTATATATGTGTGTGTGTGTGTGTGTGAATATCTATCTATATATATCTATATTTGTAAAATCATCAAGAATGTGTTTCTTGACACATTTAACCTGTTCATCCGTGCAGACGAAGCGTACATCAGCAGCTGGATACAATACTACCAGAACCAGAACTACCCGCTACAACTGGTGGTAAGCTCAATGGCCATTCGCTTCAATCGGTTGCCATGGGTGCTAGCATAGCCTGTACAAGCTATGTGTCAGGTGTTATGTTTGTCTGCACAAGCTATGCATCCTGTTCTATCTGTGTCTCGTTGTCCTTGGTGTTATGTTTGTTACATGGCCAGTGTGTGTGTCTGTGGTTTGGCACTCACAAGCCCCGCACCTCTCCACGTCATACGTAGCCCCCAATATTTGCGCATCTAAAGACCCACGGCAGGAGTGGTTTAGCCACCCATTTCGCATCCAATGGGTTGGCATTACGCATTCAGAGCACTCGGGTGGTCTGCATCGTCCCGTTTCTCTTGCGTACACGCTTTACTCTTGCGCCCAGTTCCTTGTTCCTCCTCCTTTATTGCCCACTGGCCTTCCCAAGTACATCTCGTGCCATGCCTCTTTTATTGGGCATTATGCTATTCTCCATATAGTTTCGTTCGACGTTTCAGTATAGTCCATTATGATCCCCCCGTAAGTTACTTTCATTTCCTCTTTTATTGTCCACTATGGCGTCACCAGATGTTTCCCGAGGGCACCGATCTGAGCGCGGGCAATCTTAAACGCAGCCACGCGTTCTCAGAGAAAAGTGGCCTGCCTGTGTACGAATACGTTATGCATCCCCGTGTAAAGGTAGGTAGCCACTCGCACTGTCTGCGTCATTCCGTTACACGTGTATATATGCCTGTCACCCTATGGCAAGGCATGGATACCAAATGGCCTACGCCGACTACAACACCCGAATGATACGATTGCAACGCCTCCAATAAACGTTAAAGCCCGCACGTGCGATGTATATTACCCTATCTAGCCAACGCTTACGCGAGTGTGTTTGTATGCACTTGATAACATCATGTACTTATACGCTTATGTACTTGCTGCAACCAATATACACATACGTCCGTGTCCTAGTTTGTCCACATTCGTCTACACTTACCTACATGCTTCATACGTCCATGTATTTAGTTTGTCCACATTCGTCTACACTTACCTACATGCTCCATACATTCTTGTCCTTGGTTTGTCCATATTCCTCTCCACTTACCTACATGCTTCATACGTCCATGTATTCAGTTTGTCCACATTCGTCTACACTTACCTACCTGCTTCATACATTCTTGTCCTTCGTTTGTCCACATTTATCTACACTTACCTACATGCTTCATTCGTCCGTGTCCTTCGTTTGTCCACATTCCTCTACACATACCTACATGCTTCATACGTCCCATGTCCTTCGTTTGTCCACATTCCTCTCCGCACGGCAGGGCTTCTGTTCGACTGTTCAGCAGCTGCGCAGCACCACAGACGCTGTGTACGATGTGACGATTGGTTACCCCAAAGGCCTTCCACAGAACGAGAAGGAGCTGGCCATGGGCATGTTCCCAGGAGAAGTGCACATCCACGTCAAGGTAAGACAGTGCTATAGTGAGCTGTTATGTATAGTACCACAGTGTGCTATATCCAGTAGTTGGCTATAGTGGCACAATCTTATAGGCGGGATGAGGAACAGAATACCAGCATCCAGTTTATCTGTAGCCACGCATGCCTAAGGACACGAACATGACACAAAGGTCATTTGAGATGCCATTGTTCTGCCGTGACCCAACACTCGCAAGCCTCTCTTAGCGTTCTGTATATATGAAGGTACCACTGCAAGCGTTGCTATGGTAACTCAACGCGTAGTGATAAAACAGCCTGCATGCGTTGCTATGGTAACTCAGTGAAGTGTGATAAAACAGCCGATAGTAGCAACCGTGACACTCTGACCTGTCATCACAGCTCTGCCTATGACCAATCGACTTCTCATCAGATTACACTGTGGTTGTGGTCTGCTATGCGCGTGTGGTGATAACATTCACACTCAGCCGAGTGTGCGTTCCCACTCACAGCCACTAACAACACACGACACACTGTCTCCTCTCGCCTGCGACTGTCTGGTGCGTGCAGCGGTACCTCATGATGTCCATTCCGGACAATGAAGATGACCTGGGCCAATGGGTTAAAGACAGGTGGGCTGACAAGGAACAGCGACTGAAAGCCTTCTACGCCCAGGCAAGGAAAGGTGGGTGGCACACAGTGTTAGTATGAACGCGGCGCTTGTAATGTTAAGCATTTGTATGTCTGGAGTGTTAAGCATGGA